CTGTTTTAGAATGGCAATATCTATTCTTCTCATGATCAGTTTTTCCTCTACTTCGAGATCTGTAATTGGTATATTTTCCTAAACTTCTGTCATTATCAGGGTTGTCTCTTTCTCTATGCATAACTTTGTGCTTATTTCCACTGGAGTGCTCCTGTTTATACCAACCCTGCTTTGTACTCTCTTTGTTGTAGGAATGCCTTTTTTTGGCATCTGGTTTGTTTCTGGTTTGCTTCTCCTGCTCTACGCTTTCAGAACGCTGCCTTTTAGCACGGTAGTGCCCTTTGTCAAGTTTTTTGGGGGAGCAAATTCTTTTCTTCATTGGAGAATGAGACTTAAATTTTTTCTTATCCTTATTTTCTTGACATTTTTCATTACCACTCAGTCCATCGTTTTCTTTAGAATAATTACTCTCTAAAATTTTATCCAACTTTGTAGAAGTGTCATTAGTAGGTGGTACATCTGTATAATTATTACCACTCTCCTTTGTTTCTTGGCATTTATCTATAATAATTAGAGTTGTAAGTTTTATAGAACTACATTCATTGTCGGACTTTATGAAGGGGATTTGCCCCAATTTCTCTGCAGTCTCAGCAGAACCTCTGATATGCAGAGGACTTTCCTTCAAAGTCATTTTTACTTCTTGTGGTCCTCTTATCTTATCTGTATAATCCTTGGTATCACATTGTTTAGAGAATTCATCATCAACTCCCATGGATATTTTCTTAGTGTTACACTGTCCACTGATATCAAAATGTGCATTCTCAGTTTTTGATACAATACTTTCAGCAATTTCTTCTTTGGTAGAAATAGTCTCAAGATCTGATTCAGTAAAGGAATTCTGGACATTGCAGGAAAGGTTAGCGGGAACTTTACTAGACTTCTCACAGGAAACAGGACTGTTGCCACTGACTGAAGTTTCTACATGACCATCATTCTCAGAAGTGTTTTCAAGTCCAGTTGCACTGCACAAAATAGAAATATATTTGTCTTATTTCTGATGAAAGTCACAAACACTCAACAAGACAATTTTTAAGAGTTCAGTCCTTTTCATCTGTAAACATCTGACTCCTGGAAAGCTCTGAAAGACATTCTGTTTAGAAACACATCAAATTATATTGCCTCCTCATGAGGAAGGCTCTTTTGCTTGCTCTTCTAAGTACAACACTTCATGGGCAACTATCCTGTCAATTCTCCTACTTCCTCTACATCTACTTGCTGCTTAGGCCAGGTCTACACTGGTGGAGAAAAATCGATACAAGATATACAACTCCAAGTACATGAATTGTGTAGCTGGAGTCAACATACCTTGCGTCGATTTTCTGGGATGTTCCCACACTGGGAGGTTGACGGGAGAAATGCTCCCATCACCTTCCTTACTCTTCACAACAGCAGTGCCCTCAGGGTTCAATTTAGCGGGTCTTTATTAGATCTGCTAAATCGAACTCCAGAAGATCAGTCGCTGAAGTGTCAACCCTCCAGTAAATGGAGAAAAGGCCTTACACTCATGATCATACTTGCTATGGTTGCCCTTCCCCTCTCCCTCCTTCCCAGAGGTCAGGAAGGAAGGTGGCAGGAATTTACACTCACCTGGTCAGCGTCCTAGCAAAGTAGCTGGGATTATTCCTAATGACCTGCCCATGATTTAGAAGTGTGGTAAACCAAAAATACTTATACCCACACTAATAAATAGATATTGTGTTCATGCATGCATTCCCAGGAGTGAAAAGAAGGGGAAGAGGAATATAGAAAATACAGACAATACGACAAAATGTTTTTTATGTAGAATGTTTTTCCAAAGTTTTACATGAGGCATCAATAGGTTTTTAATACAGGAATAATAGGGACAATGCCAAACACAGGTTCTGTTCTTTCATTACGATATTCCTACAGTAATCTAAATCTTTCCATTTAAGTATTAAGAATTAGTACACTCATAATAAAAAACTTGTATGGCATTTTAATTTGGACAAAGCATATTATTTTACCTTATTTCTTCTGACAAGCTTTTCAACTGCTTATACCGGAAAGACTCTAACATTCTATCCTCAGGAACTGGTGGCAAAACTGTAGGTATTATCTACAATTAAAAAGTACCAGTTAAAACATAAAATGATAGCGATCGTATATAAATTTGTATCTCATCCCAAAAAGCCTTGAGAGCTTTCTAGTTACATCCAGGCATGCAAAATTATACACATGGATCACTATAGGCACAGTGCCTGAATGTTCAATATCACAAGCATTAACAACACTGCACTTCAATTTACAAAAAAGGAAAACTGAGTACAATACTACACATTTAAGTTATTTGATGTTCAGCACTACAGTTTTTGCCTCATCTGAAAGACTGCATACTTAACAATACAATTCCTCCCCCAACAAGCACTTAGTACCTCAAAGATTTACATAAACATCAGCCCTCATGAAAAAGCAGTGTGGTTTACAGCCCAGATCCTAAACCTGACTTGCCATACAGCCCAGAGTAAATCACAACCTCTCCATGTTTCTGTTTTCCCAGATCACAGATGGAATTATAGATAGGTACAGGCAATCCCCGGGTTACGTACAAGATAGGGACTATAGGTTTGTTCTTAAGTTGAATTTGTATGTAAGTCGGAACTGGCTCCAGATTCAGCCGCTGCTGAAACTGATCAGCGGCTGACTACAGGAAGCCCTAGGCAGAGTTGCTCTGCCCCGGCTTTCTGGAATCAGCCGCTGATCAGTTTCAACAGCGGCTGAATCTAGACTCCTGGGACAGAACAGCTGGGGCACTGCCCGGTAGGGACACGCCGGGC